AACGTAGTAGCCAAAGAAAATTCAAATCATGTTCCTGACGAAGTTTTTTACAATAAAGAAAAGTGAGTGAATTAATTGATTATTATTATTGAAACGAAATTAATAATTAATAATTTTTTATTTATTTATTTATTTACATAATCATGGTTATTGTGTAGGCACATTATGGAAAGCGTGGACGTTCTACGAGCTCAATTGACTGATTTAAGTAAAAAAGTAAATAAAATATCGAGGAAATTAGATGAAGAAATAGAAACGAGAACGGTTTTGCAAAATTGCGTCAAATCTAAATTATCCAAAATGGGTACGGAAATCGATTAATAATAATAATAATAATAATAATAATAATAATAATAATAATAATAAAACCGTTTTTCAAAAAAGGGATTCGTGAGAAAGAAAACGAAAATAAAAATAAAAATAAAAAATGTTGTCGAACACGATCGTTAATCGTTTTCCTACTTACTAGTATTTACTGACTTGTGAGAAAAGTTTTGAAATGGTTTATTGTGGGGGAAACAAGGGGGGGGGGAAGGGAAATGAAAAGATAAAAAAAAAAAAACAGGATTTGCAAATGTTCCTAATGTTAAATATCGTAAATTGTTTTTTTTTTTTTTTTTTTTTTAAATCTATAGAAAAGTTAAGGTTCCTTAAGGACCTGTGCGAATCTAATTCTAAGATAAAAAAATAAATAAATCACGTGATAAAACGTTGGGGGGGAGGGGCGCGGAAAACAATCAAAACAGTATAAGAGTAAAAAGTATTTGTTGTTGCTGTTTTTGTTCGTTTATTGTTATAAAAAAAAAAAAAAAAATTCTATTTTGAATATTTTTATTATTATTTTTTTTTTTGTAAGTTGACAAATTTATCGACTGACGTGTAAATTAATTAGCAATAAATTTTAAATGCCTCATAAATTAAATTTAAAAATAATAATAATAATAATAATGATAGTAATAATAATTTTTATGACTTTCCACTGGCAATGATCTATATATATATATATATATTTAAAATTTTTTTATTTTCTAATTAGAATAAGTTTGTTGAATGCATATAAAAATAATATATATATATGTGTTAAAATTTAAATTTATAAATATGCGTTGTTTACACTTATTTGTTGTTCAGATTTTTTTTTTTTTTTAATTTTACCGTAAGAGAAAAGTAACATAATTATTATAAAAAATCAAATACTCATTATTTTTATAAGTAAGGATCTTTCGTTATTTATAAACGTTATGAACTTTTTTTTTTTATATCGTAAAAGTAAATATCGAAAAAAACCAAATTATTTATGATAAGCATTAAAATAAATACATTATAAAACAAATATATTATTATTATTATTTTCAAATTATTTTTTTTCCGGGGGAGGTAAATTTATAAATTTTGTAATTTTTTTCCCTTCCTTATTTTTTTTTACACTTTAGTTAATAAATTATCAAATCTTAAATAAATTTATTTTGAACTTTGAATTCTATTTAGATGGAGACATGCAAAGTTTAATTATTGTATTCAAAATTTATTTAAAGTTTTTGGCGCTAAAATTTTATTTTCTTAAGAATAATTTTTTAGGTTGGTATCCCCGTTCTTATTTCAACGGCAATGTTTACGTAAAAAGGTAAGGTTTAAAAAATTTTATACGTTAACCCTTCATTGTAATATCATGTCATTTACGTTTTTTTTTTTTTTTTTTTTTTTTTTAATTTTACAAAACGGTTGATTTGTCAGTCAATAAATTATGTCTAAAAAAAGAGCGCGAAATAGTGAGTATTTTATTTTCCATTTGTTTTAATTATTATTATTATTTTTCGTTAAAATTTTCGTTAAATATTTCCTTTTCAGGTAATTTGTCTTAAACACGGTTATGTTTATCATTATGAGTATAAATGAAATTTTTTAAAGTTTTAGGGAAAAGTTATTATTATTACTATTTATTATTACTAAATCAAAATTGTAGAGAAGTTATATTTTATTAATACTTATTAGTTATTGTTTCATAATTTGTTTTGATAAATAATAAATAAATCATGATGAATTTGGATATGGGTAACAAAAATAAAATAAATTGGGTTTTAAACACTCAATTTATAGACAAAGTGGAAATATTTCAAAGGGGGGCCACAAAAAAGAAAAAATTTAGTGGTATCACTTAAAAAAATTATTAAAAGCAGTAATTTTTAAGGTATTTGCATAATTACAACAGTGTTAAACTCGAAACAAAAATTATCACTTCAACATACATTGTTGTAGAAAACGATTTGTAAAAAATCTATAATTTGTTAAGCATTATTGATAAATTTAGTATTATTTAAACAAGTTGATCAGCACCAAAATTTTCAAATTAATTTTTCCATGATATTATGTTTAAAACATAAAAATTATTAATTATTTTAAAGCATTTTTAAAAATTTAATACTTTGAATTGATGTGAAATTAACTTACATATGTTTTATACATTTAAAAATGAATTCTTAACTTTTTATAATAGAAACATTTTCTTTTTCATTATTAAAATGCCTAATAATAAATGTTTATTCAAACAATCATTTATTTACATTTTAAAATCAAACAATCGGTTGATTTCCACTGTACATAACTATTCGACACACACACACACAATGTCGGCTTAAAATTAAAAATAATAATTTAAAAATATTTAGATTTGGTTATGGTTAGTTTTTATTTATGCATTAGAAAACAAAACAAAAAATTTTTAAAACAAACAATTAATAAATAAAAAGGTTCATCAACCTTCATTTCCGTTATCAACGACAAATATTAAGAAAATTCTTATGATTTATTTAACATTCAACGGTTGATGAAGGCTGCGTTCGAATTTGTTTACTGTTATCGTTTTTTAAAAAAATTAAAAAGGGATTCTCAAGTTGGCAAGTGATTTTATTTTATGTACATATATATACATAATCAAGTGTAATTTTAAATAAAAAATTTATATAAATGGAAAAAATAAAAGTTTTGGATGGTGGATTTTCCACGCAACTTGCTCGATACGTCGGGGATATTATAGATGGAGATCCTTTATGGAGTGCAAGATTTTTATACACTAATCCCGAAGCCGTTATAAATTCACACTTGGATTTTTTAAAAGGTTAGAGTTATAAAAATTTGATTGAAACATATGATTGATATTTAAAAATTAATTTTAAACGCAGTAAACTTCATTCATTCAAATTTTTTTTTTTTTTTTCTAGCTGGTGCAGAAATAATTATAACAAATAGTTATCAAGCCAGCATAAGTGGATTTAAAGAATATTTGGGATGCGACGAAACGGAAGGTTACGATTTAATAAAAAGTTCTGTCAGATTTGCTAAACGTGCCAGAGATTTATATCTTGAAACTAATCCAGGGGGTTGGTCATTTTCATTTCCCCGTTCATTCCTCTAGAATTAATATTTTACTTCATAAAATTTATTTATTTTTTTTTTTTTTTTTAGCTAGACCTCTAATTGCTGGATCTGTTGGTCCTTATGGAGCATCATTACATGATGGTTCAGAATATACAGGGGAATACATGGATAAAGTAGACAAAGATGCTATAATGTCATGGCATCGTCCAAGAATAACAGGTCTCATAGAGGAAGGAGTTGATTTACTTGCTTTCGAAACCATACCAGCATTTAAAGAAGGTGAATTTTTATTGGAATTGTTAAAGGAGTTTCCCAAACAAAAAGCCTGGCTATCTTTTCAATGTAAAGTAAGTGAGTAATGGTGGTTTTATCTTCACCAACCCAATGGTAACTCTCTTTATTATACAAATCATTCAAAATTTCTAATGATTTGCAAAATCAAATGAAATTTTTTAAACAAACATGTGCACAAATTGGAAAAAAATCAAAGAATTTACTTATATTTTTAATTTTGAATGATTTCAGAATTCCGAACACACAGCCAAGGGTGAAAACTTTCAAGAAGTTATTAAAAAATGTTGGTCAATGAATAAAGAGCAATTAGTTGCTGTGGGATGTAATTGTTTAAGTCCAAAGTATGTTAGTAAATTATTTAAAGGAATAAATGAAAATCGAACTGATAAAATTCCTTTAATAGTATATCCAAACAGTGGAGAAGAATATATTCCTAACATAGGGTAAGTAATTATCGATTAAATTTGACAAATGTCTTCATCGTTATCAAATCTAAAATTATCTTTATGTTATGTTGTTTATGTTTTTCTCAAGAAAATTGTAAGAATTTATTTATTCGTTTGAAATTTTAAGATTTAAAAAAACAAACAAAATAATTTTTATTATTATCATTATCTAAATTTAAATTTTGTTGCATTTTTATTTATAAATTGACCTTGCCTGTAATATGTAATTCTTGATTTTGTTTACTTTAACTTTTTAACTTGTGATTTTTGTTTTGTTAAATTTTCATTCAAGTTATGTTTAAAAAAAAATGTTTAATGTTTTATGTGTTTTCTGTTTTTTTCTTTTCACAGGTTTAGTGAAGAAAACAGGTAAGTTATTTTACTGCGATTAAATTTAATTAAATTTTTTTTTTTGTTGTTTAATTTCCCTCTATTTTTTCTTTCAGATGGTTTGGAAATGAAAAACTTTTTAACATGAACAAATTGTTTGGCGAATGGTTTGATTATGGGGTTAAGTATATAGGAGGTTGTTGTAGAACAAATGCGGATGATGTTAAAAATATAAGCAATGCTGTTAAGCAGTGGAACTTGAAAAAAAAATGAACCCATGATAGAAATAATAATTACAAAAAGTAATTTTACAATATGATTTTTTTATTTGATTTTTAACGATTATACTATACTATGAATTTTTTAAAAGAATGGCATTCTTATACTCAAAATCGCTATTCGAATTATTAATATAATTAGGTGAATTTATTTTAACTAAAATTATCTTCAATATGTAAAACACCTTTTACTATATTTATAATTTTTAATTTGTGAAGATGTATTTTTTTAATAAGAAATTTTTTAAAATTTTATTTATATATAAATTTTTTTTTTTGACTGTAAATATATGTAATAAATATAATATAATATTTTGTTAAAATTTGGTTTTTTTTTGTTACCCCTTTTGATTAAATAAAATTACTTTTAAAAAATGAAGGGTTATTTTAAATTTTTTTTATTGCAATATAATAATTAGCACAATAATAGTAAAAAGAAAATGAATAAGTCCTCATATATTAACAATCAAATTTTTTTTCTTTTTCGGGGGGATTTATAATTTAAAAATATATTTCCTATGTTTCGTAATGCATTTAGTTTGTACAGTGGAAATTGTGTCACATTTTAAAATTTTTTCAAAAGTATTAAATTTTCAAATCGAAATAATAAAAAGGTTTACTTACATAAATGCAGCAAAACTTATTTTATATAATTATCACTATAACTAATTCAAAAAATATAAAATATTAAAAAACTAAAGTATAACGAATTAATGAGTCACACACACAAAAAAGCGCAAAACTTAAATGAAAAAATTGCTTCTGCTTTATAATACAGTTGGCAGCACCGTAAATGAAATTGCTTTGTTTACAGATAGAGGTTAAATTTTGTAACTTATTGTAATAATTTCATTATTTTTAAATCATGTCTTATATGTTAGGACATTTACACAACGGCTGGCAAGTCGATCAAGCGATTTTATCCGAAGAAGATCGTGTGGTAGTAAGTATTTTGTTCTGGACTAATAATAAACCATTGCGGACATTGTTTATTAATGAGTATTTGTTTATAGGTTATTCGCTTTGGACATGATTGGGACCCTACATGTATGAAAATGGACGAAGTTCTTTACAGTATAGCTGAAAAAGTTAAAAATTTTGCAGTGATTTATTTAGTGGATATTACGGAAGTTCCAGACTTTAATAAAATGTACGAGTTGTACGATCCGTGTACTGTAATGTTTTTCTTTAGAAATAAGCATATCATGATAGATTTAGGTACTGGTAATAATAATAAGATAAATTGGGCATTAGAAGACAAACAAGAAATGATTGATATAGTTGAAACAGTTTATAGAGGGGCTAGAAAAGGAAGAGGTTTAGTTGTTTCACCAAAGGATTACTCAACAAAATACAGATATTAGAGTACAGTATTGGTAATTAAAATAAATCAAAATTTTTTTTATCTCGTTAATCTCAAAAAATTATTTTATAAAAGTAAATGTGCATTAGGTAATCAAATATAATTATTGTGTAAAAGTGATGTAAGGTTTATAAAGAATATTTTAAAATTTCCTATATTTGGTTCGATAATGTAAGTTGCATTTAATTTTCAAATTAAGTCATGCCTTTCTCTTTAGATAATTTAATTAAAAAAATTGTTTTTTTAATTTTCGAGAGTGAATTATAAAAGTTAATAATACTTACTCAGTTTTATTAATTATAAAAAAAAAAATGTATATTTTGAAAAAATAAAATTCAAAATAACAAGTACTAGTATAACAAACAGTTATCAAATTCACGAGCCTTCAATTAAAAATTTAAAAAAAAAAAATTATTTTTATGAATTAAAAAAATTATTATGCACTACAAAATGAACACATTGCAAAATAACATTTCTTTCATGTCTGATTTCATTTTTTAATAATTTTTCTAATAATGTTAAATTTCTTCTTTGAACCGGATTTGATTTATTCAATGGTTTTTTAATGTTCGACATTTTTGATTTTTTCGATGATTTCGTATTTTTATTACTATACGTTTTCGCATCGTTTTCTTCTTCGACCGGTAAATCTTTCACCACGACTGTTTTCACTTCATCCGGAAGACAATTCAAGTCTACATCGTCCTCCTCGCAATTACTTCCGTTATTTTCTTTATTTTCGTCAGGGGGTAATTCCATGTCGGTTTCATCATCGTTAGAATCATAAGCAGAAGCAAGAATACTTAAAGAATTATTTATCGATATCTTGTTGCACGTTTTACTCTCGCTTGTTTGCCATTCTTCGTCACTTATTTCTATATCATCTTTAATTATGTCATTTTTTAAAGATTCGCCATCGTTTCCTAAAAATGAATTCAATGATTAAAATTCGAATGTCTTATAATAGGAATGATGAAACCTATTTGATTATTTGTAAGGAAAAAATTTCCCCCCAAAAAAAAAAAAAAAATAAATAACAAGAGTCATTATCGTACCTATTCCAGAAAATGCAGGTACACCATTTCTAAATAACGATTTGGTTTCTTCAATCGTAGCTTTTTCAATTAAATTAATCATTTTTTTTTTATTATTATTACGTCGAGATTTTCGATTTTTATCTTTGACTTTTTTCAATGTTTTCTTCCTATTTTTCTTATTCAATGCCTTATTAAATTTTGATTTATCTTCTTTTATTCTTTCTCCTCTTTTATTTTTTTCAACTTCCAAAGCTTTTTTTTCTTCTATGACTTTTTTAGAAGGGTATCTCCTATTTAGAAAAAAATAAATCACGCATTTAAATAATTTATTAAAGAAAAAAAAAAATGAAAGGTGAAATATAAAAAAATTTACTTTTTCCTTTCTTCTATCCATTTTGCTATTTCTTCTTCCGTGTATAATTTACCAATTTTTTTATAAAGACCTGAATCATGTTGCATTTTCTTATGTTTGGCTATGATTTTCGGATGTGCCGTGAATTCGCATCCATCTCGTCCGCAAATTTCATGATCGGCCTCGTGAAGGAGCAAATCGTCATCCGTTTTAAATGACTTGTCACACGTTTCGCAAAAATAATGTCTCCACGTTGTATTATTTTCCCAGTAATTTGCCTATATTTCAAAAAAAAATTATTAGTAACAACGACACAATTTTCAATAAAAAAACAACTATTCAAAAAAAAAAAAAAAAAAATGTAAGATACATTTTCAGGCAATTAAAGAATCTCTTTTTTTAAATTATTTGTGAGTTTTTTTCTCTCTCTCTCTCTCTCTCTCTCTCTCTCTCTCTCTCTCGATAATTATCATCAAGTTTGTTTTTTTTTCCCCCCTTCCCCCCTCCCCACCGTTTGAATTAAACTCTTTTACTTAACATAATGCCATGATTTTTTTTTTTTTTTTTTTTTAATTAATACTTACATTTTTAAAATAAAAATTTTTTTGGTTAGCAAATATTATAATATAATATTAAACAATAAAAAAAATGTACCTGTAATATTATTCATATTGTTTTTAAAAAAAAAAAGGGCAACTGTTTACAAACAAAAAAAAAAAATAATAATAATAATAGTAATTTCGTTTTGAATTTTTTTTTTTTTACAGGTGCACCAAATTAAAAAAAAGCAAAAAAAAAAAAAATTATGTAATTAAGTATATAAATTTTTTTGAAATTTATTATTTGATTAAATGACAAAATAATTATCATAATTTATTTAAATAGAAGCACCTATTTTTTGAAAATAAAAGAGAAATTAAAAAAAAAAAAAAATTATTATTATTCGGATTTTTACACTCATTATGATAAAGTTATATTGTCACAAATTTTTTGTTTTTCCCTCGATGAAAAAAAAAATACCAAAAGGTATTAAAAAAGAAATTTTTTGGTTAAATTATTTGTTATACAATGCATACTTGTGTCTTCTGCACATAAAAATAAAAAATTATCAATTTAAATAAATTTACACTTTTTAATAAATATTATTAAACATTTCACTTTTTTCTTTTAATACGAGGAACAAATTTAATTTGAGAAAACATTAATAATTAAAACTTTCAATTATTTATCCATCTATCGATATAGATATGATTTTTTTAAAAAATTAATTAATTAATGTAAATACACTTATTATTTTTCACAAAATTATTGTTTTCAAAATGTATGAACTTTATATAAAATAAGCTTGGCAAAATTGTTTTTTTTTTTTTTTAATGCAAAAAAATCAAAAAAAAATTTGACATTTAAATATTTATAAAAAAAAATGAAAGTTACTAAATGTTAATTATTTAAAAAATTTTTAATTATATATACTTTTTTAATTGCCAAAATGCAAAATTATAAAATAAATAAACATTAATCGAGTTATATTGAGATCAATTATATTACATAGTTCCTCAATAAAAAGTTAAACTTTTCTTTATAGATAAGAATAATATATATATATATATATGTATGTATGTATGTATGTATATCTATATGCATATAAATAATTTTTTTTTTTTTTTTTTTTTTTTTTTGTATGCATTTATAGCAATTACTTTAAACACAGAAGTTTAAAATTAAGTGCAGATAAACTGACACAGACTTGGCCACTTGATATTTAGGTGCTTCCATTCTTACTATCTCCTTCTGCTATATTCTCCTTTATACATTTATCCTGCAATGGGTACAGTAGAAATATTTAATTATTTTTTATTTAAATAATAATTCTTTTTTTTTTTTTTTTATGTCTTTTTCGAATTTCTTTCCAATTGTGTCTAAATTTTTAAAAAAAGCATCTTTTAAAAATTGATGTCGCAGCTTTCATTTTGTGTTAATATATCACACCGAAAAGAGAAAATGTTTTACTCATGATTTGTTAAGCTTAATAAATTAAAGCTTTGAAATTTTAGGAAAAAAAAAGGTGAAACATTTAATTAGGAAAAGGGTAAATATTAAAACAATTAACATCAATTAATGATAAATGTGTCAATAATATAAAAACATTAATGAGTTTAATGGTGATTAATTTACCTCTTCGGGATGATTAGCTAAATATTCATCTTTTGCTTTGTCATACATATCTTTGACAATTTGCTTTTGTGACTTATAACTACTCCAATCATTATCATCTTTTGATTTCCTCCACGTTTCTAATAATTCTATTTTTTTAGTTTCTTCACTTTTAATTTCATCTGTTACCCATGGCTTTGTCAAATCAATTTCCTGAAAGCCAATTTTACGAAATATCCACATGTGCCTCAGTCATGTATTTAATATTGGCAACCCATTATCAACGGTTTTTTTTTTTTTTTTTTTAAAAAAAAAAAGGTTACTCACAGGTGCAGGTGCTTCATTTTTTTGTATTGTTTTCCGCCTGAAATTTTTTTTAGGAAACTTTCCGAACCCTGGCCTAGGCGGCCCAAAATTAAAATTTGATGGACCGGGAAAATATGGAGCGCCGAAAGGAGGATCTGGAGGAAAACCCATAGGAGGTGGGTAAAACATGCCGTGAGGTCCGGGTCTAAACATTGGACCTTGTCCGCCCATTCCACCTCGACGACCATTTTTATTAGGAAAAATATTTTTACCACCTCGACCACGGCCTCTTCCTCTCGGATTCAGCCCCATAATTACCGAACACAACTTAAAACACTATAAAACTGTAAATAAATTGCGTAACAATATAACGCTATTTGTATAATGAAATTACCAAATTACCGGAACTTAATTGAACTGCAGCAAAAAAAACGGTAAACTGTAGCAAATACTTTTCATTGGTTCATTCTACGTAAATCTTTTTTAAAACAAAGTTTAACGTTAAAATTTCTTTTGAAAAAAATTATAATATCAGGCGTAAAAAAAGAAAAAAAACTTAATATTAATTAAAATTCTTAAAATTTTACTTTAAACAAAAAAAAATCAAGTGAAAATTTAATTTTAGTACTTAAAACTTAAATTAAAATAAACGATGTGCGAGTTCGCATCTTTTTTTTTGTAACCGACCGTTGAAAATTAAATTCAAAATAATTATGGAGGATTATAAAGATAATAAATAATTAAAATATTTCAAGTAAGTAAATTTAATCAAATTTTTAAAATATTATTTTTTATTATTCTTATAGAAGTGTCAGTCAGGTGCAAAATTAACTTTGTTTTTTTTTGTTAAAAAAAGTTTAAATAAATGATTTTAAATAAAAAATTTAATTAATAATTACAATATGAATATTATATATTGTACCATTATTATATATATATAAGAACAGCTGCCGGCTCTTTATATAAATCCTTTTGCCAGCTATCTAATATTAAATATTAATTTAAAAAAAAAAAAAAAATTATTAATGCATAATTGTAAATAATTATAAATATAATAATAATAATAATAATTTTTAATGATTTTTAAAAATGGATTTCAACAAACTTGGTAGAAAAAAAATTTCTTTTTTTTTTTTTTTGTGTCAATAATAATCAATACACAACCTAAAATGATAATTAGAAGAAATCCCAATTGATTACATACCATAAATATATATGTATATATGTATATAAAATTTTTAAAACAAGCTAAATTTTTTGATTAATAATACAATAATAATAATAATAATGATGATTTACATGTGAATGTGAATATATAAAAGAAAAATTATTAAAATTTTTCCATAATGCATGAAAAACTCTAATAATAAAACGCTAAATAAAAAAAAAATGATAAAAATATATAAAAATTCGCATGAATTCGTTTACCCCTTTTTACACAAAAAAATTCATTACAATTTTAAATAATGAAATTATAATTACTAAACTAATTTTTTTTCCTTTTTCTTTTATTATTATTATTATTATTGAAGTCCGTACATAATTTATAAAATACTCGTAAATGATAATAAATATATATTTTTTTTTTTTTTGATTATATATGATTTTGAAATTTTTCCGCTTTGTATTTTTTTTTTTTTTTTTTTTTTTTACAGCGTCAAATAAAAATTAATATAAATTATAATAATACTAATTATAAATAAATAATAATAATAATAGTTATTAATTTTATATTACATTACATGCAATAATAATAGCAGCTAATGATTCAATCGAATTATATAAAAAAATATATTTAAAAAAATAAAAAAATTTGTAATAAAATAAAACTGTGATATATAATTTGTATTAGTATGTAATACACGATTGTTTGATTCATGATAATAATAATAATAATAATAATAATAATATCTCAAATTTAATCAAAATTTAATGTAAAATCTCACTTTGTTGTTGTTGTTGTTGTTTTAAAAAAATTACTCTAAAACATTTTTTTTTATGTCATTTGATTCGATTAAAAATAAAAATTCTACGACTACTTAATAAGTTTTAATATTTATAAGTAAAAAAAAAAATTACAACTCATTTAAAATAATAATGAAAATAATTAATTTACAATAATTAATGTTTTTGATTGATAATGATTTAATAATTAATTAAAAAAAAAACCTAATTAAATTTAAGATATTTTAACAATCACAATTTATTATTATTTTTTACATAACTAATCGAAAAATAATTAATTATTTTTTTATTAATAATAATAAAATAATCGTCAATAATTTTTTTAATTATAAAAATTTTCACCTAATTTTTTTTTTTTTTTTTTTTTTGTAAAACTTTATGATGATTACGATTATTATTATTATTATTATTATTATTATTATTATTTCTGATAATTAAAATAATTCATTAGAAATAAAAGTATTTAACGTTTATACGTAAATAAAAAAGAAACGACTTAAAATTAATTGAATTGTAAATACGAATATTTTTTTTTTCTCCTCCATTGATTCAAACACTTTAAATTATTATACTTTGGTAACGTAGAACATTTAAATCTATATGCGTGTAAGCAAATTTTTATGCTTTATATTATATAAAATAATAATAATAATAGTAGCATTAGAATAACTTTTTTTTTTTTTAAGGAAATAATAAAAATACCGTTAAAAAATAATAATAATAATAATAATAATAATTAAAAGGCATACACTTTTAATAAATTTTTTTTGACGATTTGATTATATCATCATCTACTGTACAGCAATATATATATATATATTTACCGTACGTGCCATTTTTTTTTTTTTTTTTTCAACATATTACGATCACTTAATTTTTCCTATTAAAAAAAAAAAAAAAATTTTTTTTTTAGTATTCAAAAGTGCGCTAAAAATTATTTATTATCTGATACGTTTTATTTTTATTTTATTTATTTATTTTTTTTTATAAGTGCACTTGATAAAATAAAAGGAAGAAACAAATAAATAAACGTTGTTTTTCATGCGAGAAAATACTCGCATCAAATTCGCTACGGCTCACGAAGGTTTAGTTAGAAAAAAAAAAAAAAAAAAAAAAATTTTCCTGATATTTAAAAAATAAAAAAGATGATTTTTTTTTTTTTTTTTTTTTAACGTTAAATAATTGAAACGATTAACTGAAATTATCGTAAAACCTTAAGCTGACCGGTGTTGGTCCCATATACGAGTCCTTGTCCGGCTCCAGGAGCCCAACGTATGCAATTCAAACTCATAACATTTGATTCTCGTGTTTGTTCCAAATCTCGAATATGAACGAGACGTCCCCTTCCGCTTTGCCAGCTTCCACCGTTCGGAGAAGGTTTCCCGCCTTCTAATCGGAAAATTTGAGCCATGTTCGTTCTGTCGCGTACCACAACGGGTCGAGACGCTAATCCCACTAGTAAATGTCGATTCGTCGGAGATAAACTAACGGAAACTGCATTTTGTTCGAAACTAGTTCTGTACAAAAGCTGACCTAAGGAACCCCAGTCTAGACTGTAAACACCTAAAATCATGACGAACATGTTAACGATGACGTATTTTTCAGATGTCGAAAAAAACTGCTGCGAAAATTAATTGAAATTTTAAATCGTGAAACTCACCCAACATAGTAGTCACCGAAAGTCTGCCGGAGGGAAGAAGGGTAACTAAAAGGTGTCCATCGTTAGAAACATCTACGCTAGCATCATTGTGAATTTTACATTCTGGTACCACGCCATTTGCTTCTCCTAAAATAACAAGTTTTATAAGTACATAAATTTTTATAAGAGACAAAAAAGAAAACAAAACTAATTTGTAAAGTCACAGGACTCACTATCAGATATATCGGGAATGTTCATTTTAGAAAAGTCCCAAGCTTGTATCCTGTGATGAGGAGATAAAGGTGCATCGGTTATAATCATCGGATCTAAAGTGTACACTCCCAAATGCGGTCCTCCAGAAGTTCTCAATACTGGTTCAATCAATATAAAGAATTTTCACACGATCTAATAATCAAATGATATTGATATGATGATTGATAACTAACCTCGATAATTGTTTATGTTAGAATCTTGATCTTCGAAAGGATTTGGATCATTGTATCTCGGGTGAAGTAATCTTGGACGCCAAGCTCGCCATCTCCACACGTCTTCTGGTATTCTCGGAGTCGGGGATTGAGGTTGATGACGTGGTTGACTTAGCATAGACACATCTACAAATTTTTATTCATTAATTTTCGTGCAAAAAAAAAAATATTAAAATTAATACAGGATTAAATACAGGATGATAAAATACAAAAGAAACACTCACCTGAAACGGGAATATCATTGACTTGTACAACGGGAACAGTAAAAGAGCTAACTCTGGGCTCGATACTGTTCGTCGAACCGGATGATTCGTTACTTCCACCGTATCGAATCCAAAAAATGGGACGTTCGTCCCTCAAGCTCAAATCTCCGTTTTCATTACGAGAAAGTGTTACTTCCATTGATCGTAATGGCGGAGCTGGGTTGTTATTCACAAAAGAGGAATTAGTTCCACTCGATCTGAGTGAATTCTCTTCACTTCCCGCATTTTCAGTATTCACATTACTCTCAGAATTATTTACCTCGTTATCTCCGCTTAAACCAGTAACTATGATGATATTATTGTTACCACCATTGTTGTTATGCGAGTTATTGCCATTTGAAAAATACTGTGAAAAAAAATCATTGTTGCTATGACTGTTTGAACTAAAAATACTGATGTTCCCATCATAATAACTATTATTTAAGGTACTGATATTAATATTATTGATGTTGATATTGTTGGTGGTATTGTTGTTGTTGTTGTTGTTACTATTATTATTACTATCGTTATTGTACACATAAATATTACTATTATTACTATTAACGTTGATTCCGCTTCTGCGGTTGTTTAATGTATTGTTATTGTTCGAGGAATGCGGTTGTCCAGTTTCGCTATTATTACTTTCATTATCAAATGATCTAATTCCAGACGGAGGATTATTTCCTCTTTCTTGACTATTTCTTACATTGAGGCGAACACGATTTGAACGATTGTTTATATAATAGTCTGGTGAAAAAGTATCTCTTCTCGTATCAAATGAACCTTCAGAATTTGACATGGATGACATTCTACTGCTACTTGGACTGAATCTAAATAAAAAAAAAATATTACGATAATCGTTTTTTTTTTTACCTAAAATAATTGGTAGGTTTTATGTTTTATTTGTGCAACTTACAATTCCCTCGGGGGAGAAGATCGTGTCATTCTTCTTTTTCTTTTTCTAAGGTAATCCAAAAAAAATGGTCTATTGGAATTTCTTAGAAAAGCTGCCGCAGAACCTGGGCTAACTGGTTCGAATCGGAAATTTGGTGGCACGAATGGATTGATAGTAACTCCGCTTCTGATGTTATCTTTATAATTAAAAATATTAAAATTAAAATTTAAAAAAAAATTAATTAAATGAAATTTATGACTTTGTTTGTTTAGTTACCATTTTGAGTGGTAGAAACCCCAGGTTGATCCCTTGAACGCCCGCTTAAATTCCTTCTTCTTTCACTAATTCTTTCGGAAACATTATTCGAAACTGACGTTGACTGATTATCGGTTCCATCATTACCTTGTTCCTCCTCATTCTGTGACCTATCACCCCAGTTTATTTCTCTACTAAAAGTTAAAGGTAAGTTGCTTGTAAAAAAAATTTATTTTTATTTTTTTTTTTTTGTTTTTAACAAAAAATATTACCTTCTGGCATTCAGTTGTTCTAACAGGAAATCTGTACATTCTAATGCAACGTGTAATAATAAATGTAAATCTGAAATTAAAATGCAGCAAATAAAAATTTACAATTTATTAAAATAAAATTTAAAATATGAACTTAAAGTTTTTATTCAAAAAAAAAAAAAAAATTCTTACTAAATATTTGTTCGTCCAGAACTTGAATTAAATCTCCAAAATTTTTACCAAATATTTGAGTTAAACTTTTTACGATAAACTCGAGTAATTTTTTCGAATGAACTTGAGTGGCATCTTGCACCGAATTAGAATTAGCATCATCATTAGATTGTATATTTTGTAAAGCAGCTTGTTCGCTTTCTTCGTTTGATTCACTTTCATCGGAGTCATCGTCGGAACTGGGTAAAGCTCTTTGAGGTTCACGGTATTTATCGTTTATAATGTACTCTCCAGCGCTGGAAGAAGCCAATCTCAAAAGACTTAATCTCGCTTTCATTGTTTTTATCATTTCTTTAAGTAATTCCTTCGTGATGGGATCTTGAGAGAGTATGGCGAGCTCTCTGCTGGAAGTCGAGGCTAAAGGATCATCGAAACCGCTTTCTTCCCTTAAAACTTCGTTGCGTTCTCCTGTGTTGCTTTTCAATAATTTGGATGAAGAACCGTAAGAGCCTGCATTGCTGGGCGAATCCGTATTTCTTCTCTTTGGCCTATTGCTTTCTCTTATTGGTCTTTTCTTTTGCCCGCAAGATTGGCAAGCTTCATTAGATATAGAACTTCTAGACGTTGAAGGTTGGCTAAGTTGGCTTAAATTAGATTCAAAACGTTTCGTCATATTCTTGTCTTTTTTTAGAGCTTTTCCAGAACTCATTGATTCCCTAAAAAAATTTAAATTTTGTTTAGAGACAACATAATTTCCGAGTTAATTTGTCATTTACTACAACGAAATTAATTTTTTTTTTTTGTATTTTTTTCTTTTTTTGTTCAAAACAAAACACACACACACAAAAAAAAATTTACAATAAAGATATACGTACCGATCGGCAGTTTTCAGGTTTATGTTAGAAGAACTTAAACTCGAACGACGTAAATGCGTAGCTCTTGAAAAATTTTTTAATTTAAAATGATTATTGGTTTTTTCAGATCTTTTCAAAGGATCAGACCCCTCTGAATTTATTCGCTTTCTTTTTCCTTCTCTATTATGCATTTCATCGAAAACGGATGTTGGGTTTTCATTTTTTAAAGATTTCGCCCGACGATTTATATTGAAATTTGATAGACCTGATGGACCAGGTTGCGGTTCTTCAGTTTCGTTTCTAGCAGTTAGAGAAGTGTTTAAAGAACTTGTACTCGTAATATCGCCTACGTTTGAATGAAAAACTGACGATGACTTTTTCTTTGAAGCCTTTTTCGATTTTTTGGCTTTATCAAATATTTCATTAACCATGGATTCAACTAATTTTTTATAATCATTAACAATATCAAATTTTAAACTAGCGGATGATGTAGGAGAAGTTGATTCTCTACTAAACGGAGTACTAATCGCCAAATTTCGAAGACTCGGCAATTCAGTACTAGAATTAGAGTTATCGTTTTGATTGGGTAATAGCGCAGCGTTGATTTCTTCACCTCTGCTCTGAATGGCATCCCGAAATCTTGTTATATGGTTCATTAGTTCTTTCCACATTCTTTTAATTTTTTGACGCTGTAGAGTTTCTATTCGAGACCTAAAATTATTTTAAAACTTCTTATAAATATTGAACAAAATTTTTATTGACAAATCAAAAATTTAAATTTTCTTTTATTAAAAGAGTGATGTTCAGTTTTAAAAAACTTACCAACAAAATCTTTGCAAATTTTCTATTCCGCGGCTTATTCTTTGAATCCCTTCTCTAACATTAAATTCAGGTGAAGATGACAAATTTGAATCGGTAACGGACGCACTATTAGAATCAGTGTCACTTTCATCGCTATCAGACAAGTTGTTTCTCGAAGATGTTGAAGGCTGATTGATTTGAGATTGCTCTTCTATTAATATATCACTGACGGGCAAATCGGAATTCAACGAAATAGGCGGTGTTTCCACTTCTGGATCCCAAGAATCAAAAATTTCAGACCCATTTTGAGAAGCATTAAATCCGTTGGAATTTAATGAAATATTAGGCGCTGAAGTAGAAAGAGTGGATGAGCTGTCAAGCAACAACTCGTTTGAAACCTCTCGGTTTTCACTAACGGATGACAACATTGGATCCGTTCCTCTCGGGCCTAATCCTCTTGATAAATTATTATCTTCGGAATCTAAAGAATGTAAAGGTGAGTGTTCTCCTTCTTCTGATTCTCCAGATATTTGCGAATAATTTACCGTGCTGTCAACGGAAGGAATATCCAAGGAATTTCGTAATCGATTTCTTAATAATCTTTTTACGCTATCGAAAAGGCGATTTTCAACCTGTTCACGAAGTTGTCGGTAATAACGTTTTCCTGATAAAGAAAGGGTGTTGGTATTAGAGGTAGGAGAGCAAGCAGCTCCTTCCGAAGAAGAAGTTGAAGCTTCCTCGGCGGAATTTGAATTTGATGAATGCGACGCTGTGAAAGAAGATTTAAAAGAAGGAACCTGTTTGGAAATCAGATTACTTTTAATTCGCGAGGACAGTGAATTATTTAAAGAAGAATTACTGCTGTGGGAAAGAGATTGAGGTTGAAAAGGAGAATTCGAATGTCGCGAAAGAACAAACTGCCCGCCAGGCCTGAATGAGAGCTGACGTCTCAAGTTTTGATTATTTTGTAAATTTAAACCATGAGTTTCCCTATTTGTTATTAATTGTAACTGCAAATAAAAATATTAGATTTAATTGATTAATTTACAATTGAAAAATTCAAAATTGAAAAGCGTTTCATTAAATAGTACCTGTGATTGATGGTCCTGAGAAAGCCTAGATCTCACTTGAAATCGGGATAAGTGTTTTTGATTTTTTCTTACAAATTTCCTGTCTGTTCTGTCATTATCCCTACATCTTCTTTCTTGCCCAGATTTTGATAAATTTCCTTGTTGTAATTGGTGTCTAAAAGGAAAAATTTTATATGAAAATAAATTTTAATAATTTCGAAAATAATAAAAATGAAAAAAAAAAAAAAACATTTTATAATTTTAAGTTTTACCTTTGTCTTTTAAGCTGTAATCCTGGAGATGTTTGAGACTCACTTTCAGTTTTAGTTTGAGAACATGATGGAGTTCGTGTCATTTGAGAAGCTATATTAGAACTCAGACGGTTAGTTGAGTTAATCGATGATCTATTTATAACACTTCGTAAACGGTTAGATTCAGTAGTATTAAGTTGTGGCCTACTACTTGAACCTTGTTGACCATCGTTTGATTCATCGAGTAATACTCTGCAAGGCCAAACCACAGAGAATTGAGATCTTTCAGAATTATTTGAACTAGATTCTCGAGTACTAAATATTCCCCTTTCAGGATAAGATGAATACGTCGGATTTGTGATAGCCCTAGAAGTGTTTGTTTGAGAAGAATTCCTTGTAAATAAAACATTCGAAGAGTTTTCTGGCGAGAAAGTTAAGCTCCAAGATCTGGTAGTCGGTCCAAAACTAAATGCGCATCGTCTTAATCTTGAGGGTGATTGAGTAGATGTAGAAGTTGAGCCTACAGAAGGCGTAGTAGTCAAAGCGAGGTTTTGATTAGAGGGAATGCTAGAAGTTGTAGAAAAAGCTAATGAACTGTGAGCCGGTAAAGATGAACGATTGTTTAGCCTACTGAATATTGATGAGTGAATTCGAAACCTTTTGCGATTGCTTAATGGACGATAATTTCTGGATGCTGAAATAAAAAATTACGCATTTAACAAAGAATTATTTTTTTTTTAATTTTATACAATTCACAATTAACTCACGAGAACGCGTAAATTTAAATCGAAGTGGAGATGGACTGTTCGTTTGAGAAGTTGAAACAGAAGAAGAAACAGCTGAACTGCTAATTCCAGAAGTGCTAGCATTATTTCTCAAGTCTAATAAATCCATGGGGTCAGTGCCTCTGTCGGTCTGTATAAAAGAAAAAAATTAAATTTTAAATGAAAAACAAATTCAGTTTCACTAACTTTTTTTTCATTAAAATTAATAAAAACCTAAACTTCGGTAGTTAAAAAAAAAAAAATTTTAAGGAAAACTTACAGTAGGAGTAACTCTTGATTGAGATAAATCAAAATATCTATCCATCAATTGATTATACTGGTTCATTAAATGCCGATAACAAAAAGTAATGGATCTCCCTTGGTCAGAGGAAGACTGAGAGTTGCTACTGGTAGTTGTAACGCTCGAACTAAATGTTGTAGTTGTTGAAGCTGGTGTTGAAGTAGAAGGTGGTTGAGAACTGAGTACATTTATTCTATCCCATTGAGATGGCACATTTACTGGGTTCGCAATGCCTGTAATTAATTTATTCCCTAACCTATCGAACGAAACATACCTAAAAGTTCAAAAATGATTAATTAATAAAAAAAGATATATTAAATTGTCTGCATACAAGTGCATCAAAATCAAATATTTTATAAAATATTCGGAATTTCAATTAATACTTGCCTAACTTTTTCTCTTTCACTTTTAGTACTACACTTGGCGAAAGGCTCAGGCTGACTCCAATCCCAAAAATGTAATTCATTATAAGTGGCTATAACAAGCATCCTTCCTACAGGATGAAAAGCAAGTGATGCAATTACTGTTTGACTTTCAGCAGTCCATACTTCACTACCACCCTGATTAGGAAATATAAAAAAAAATTTATTAAAAATTAAAACTTTTGAAAATAAGTACAGAAAAAAGAAAATCATTACATGTAAGTCCCAAACTCTGACTTGTCCTCCTAGGCAACCAGATGCCAATATTTGATTAGAGGAAGGATGAAAAGCGATGCACCAAGGTGTTCTCGGATGACCAGATAATGTTTGAATATTTTTTCCGGTAGTTAAATCTGTTACATATACATTGTGATTTCCATGGGTAGATGCCACTTTTTTACTAAGGAAAAATTTTTTAAAAATTAAATTAATATAAATTTAAGGTGATATTAATTTGATAATAAGTATTATATATAAAAAATAAGCAAGAGTTAAAATGTCTTACCCATCAGGACTGAACACCATTAAAAATGTCGAACGCGGAGAATCAGGCAACTGACATTTCTGTAAATTTAATAACAAAAGATAATTCTAGTACCGATTTGAAAAATGAATTTTCAATTAATTTTTTTTTTACTTACAACTTCCTCATACGAATTTTTACTAATTAATTTATCTTCAGCAGCCCATTGAAATTCAGAAGGGGAAGCATTTTTATAACGGCCTATTTCACGGTAAAAATAACTTTGAGTAAAATTTTTTCGAACTTTACTGCCCTCATCAATAAAACGTATAGGTTTAGAACAATCTATTGTTTTATCTCTATCTTCCATTTTATTTTACTGCAAACAAAAAAAGTACTTGTAATAAAAAATTTTAATTAATATTTCCAAAATATGTTTGAAAATTTACCGTAAAACGTTTTAATAATAAATATTATATTTTTTAAACATTAATAAAATATTTACGATAGATTGAAAATTAAAACATGCAGATTTTTTTTTTCACAGATTTTTAAAAAAATACTAAAGAAAAAATTTTTTTTTTACACATCTGAAAAACCTGAAATTTTTCCGATACATTTGTTATTAGTTTTATCAATAATAAATATCTGATTGTTAACATTACGGTTCCATGTTTCCTTTGAAAATCGCCATCTTTGTAATTATCCGGTTTCTTCTGGTTTTTAATTTTTCAAAGTTGGCAATATAAATCTAGCGCGAGATTATAATTTTCTCTTTTTTTCTAGAAGTAATGGTTTTAGATTTTTTTTTTTGTGTGTAGTTAATTATTTATTATTTTTAATTAAAAAGATTATTTTAATATTATTATTTATATTAATATTATTGTTATAATATTATTGTTTATTTCATTTTATTTAATATTTAGTGTAAATTAAATAAGTTAAGCGTTTTTAAAATTTTTACCCTTAAGTGATGTCTCGTTAAATGTGAAATAAAATTTTTTTGTGTGAATAAAATCATTATTATTTTACTTTTTGTAAATTTTATATCAATTTTTAAAAGAAATATTATAAGTATAAAAATTTTTTTTAAAATAAAAATAACGGTAATCGATTTTTAAAAAAGCAAGTATTTGACATCAGCATTTGAAGTTTATTCTCAGTCCGAAGCGGTCCGCCATTGTGGTCTGATCTCGCAAGATACGAGTTAAGACGAGATTTTCGAGACCCGTACTATTGTGGAATATTTTAAAATGTTTTTGTTGTTATTTAAAAATAAAAAAACATTATTTAAAAATAGTGTTTGTTTCGTATTCTGATTTACCTGTGATTTTTTTTTTTTTTTTTTGGTTAAAGTGTGACTTTAATTTTTAAAAACAAATTAAGTTTTTGTAAGTGAAAATTAAATAATTTAGGATTCCCTCCAAAACAACTGGATTTAAAAAAGAAAAAAAAAAGAAAAAGTAATAAGAATTATTTGGTAAGTGTATTTTTAGATTCTTTTTTTCATTTGGCTTGTTTTTATTATTATTTTATTTAAAAAACTAAATTTAACTATTTTGACGTGTAAATTATGTCTTCGTTTATTGTAAAAATGACTAAAATGTTCATTTTGAATACCAATAGTGTACTCATACAAAACACATATAGATTCATTTATTCAAGTTTTTTATGTCTTCTAAATTCATTTATTCATTTTTATTTTATAAAAAGTATTATTTACTTATTTTCAATGATACATTTATTTGCATTATTTGATAAATATTATTTGAATCATTTCATTGTATAGGCAGGTTGTCAAGATCATTTAAAATAATGTTTTACCTCATTTTTTATTTGAATTTTTTTTTTTTTTGTCCTAATAAAATGGAACATTGAAAAAAAAAAAAAAAGAAAAATTAAAATTTGATTCTTTATGCTTTTGATTATTTTAATTGAAGACATTATACATCAATTGTATTAGAAACCTTGAAGTAAATTTTCTAAGGTCACACATAGCTCAAGTTACAGATTACACAGGTCATGAAAAATTATTATTTTTGCTTTAATTATGATTTTACTCCAATTAAATGTAATTTAAATTTAAAAACTATTTAAACGAATGAACATTTCATTATGTTACAAGACTTGATACAAGAAAAAATATTAATTTTTACAAGAGAATTTAAATAGGGATAAAAACTTGTATTTTTCCTCCAGTCGTTTAAGTAAAATTATTTATGATCAATTTTAACGAATAGTTTTTTAATATAAAAAAAATAAAAAATTAAATACTAATAATAATTGCTTTGAATTTTTTAAAACGAACAATATAAATAAAGTAACAAAGTTTGGAAACATGAGAATATACGATGGAGAGTTTTATACATAAATACATAAAATTTTATGAGAAATGACTTATATTTATATTTAATAACATTCATCAGCTGTTTACTAACATACATTATTACATTTTTTTTTTATACTAAAATTTTAAATGAAATTTTTAAAAAAACATTAGTTTACTTAATAAAAATTGTACTCTGGCTAATATTTCAAAATTATTTTGGTTTAGGCTTTTCTTTATGTAAAAAAAAAATTTCTATTTATTTAAAAATCAATTTTTAAACAATTAAATTTTTTATATTATTTATAATTTTTATGAAATGAAAATTTACACGTTAAAAAAAAAAAAAAAAACTTTTTAATTTTGTTAATAATAATAATAATAATAATTTTATTTTGTATGGCATACTTAAGGATAATCACTTGAGAAAAAGAAAAAAAAATTTATTGTTAACAAATAATGATTTTTTTTTTTTTCTTTAACTTAAATTTTAAAGTTTCAATTTTTTTTTTTATTTTTACTCATGATGGGGTCAATATTCTCTTGCAAATTGTTTTTCAAACGTATACATAAATTTTTATGGATTTACATGAAGTAAAATATGTTTTGCTTTCATTTAATTTATTATATATTCACGTTTTGATATTTTTTTATTGACTAATAATTATTTAAACGTTAACCAATAAAAAAAAAAAAATATTAAGATTTAGTGTTAAAATTACAATTTTAATAATGGTCATTGAGGTATTTTAAATAATAAAATTTAAATTTTATTAAATATTGAATTGAATAAGAAAGAGTCTTAAATATTTCATTGCAAATATTCAATTAGTCTTAAGAGTATTTTCAATACTCACTAAAATTTTTTATGTATTTTATGTATGAAAATATTTAATTTGTTGTTTTTAACCCTTGTTTTTTCATATAAAGATTTCAAAACATTAGAAGACATAAAAAAAAGAAAAAAATCTAGTGAAACAGGTGTGCTATAAAATTATCTTTTTTTTTTTTTTTTTTATCTGACTACTATAAAAGAGACTTCTTCTTCTTCTACTTCATCTTCATCTTTCAAATTCCAGACTATTTACTTCTCTTTATAAAAAAAACCTGTCAGAAAAATTACATAAAAATTTATTACATAAACTCGTATTAACCGTTATTTTATTTATTTTATTTTATTTTCGATACGTAAATTTCTATTGTACAAATATTGTTTTATTTATTAGTGTGATTTTTTTTTTAAATAGAAATTCATTCATTATTGAAATGCCCTTCAAATTTATTATTTATTTACATAATTTCGGTTATTTCGTTTGCTTATACACGAATATCATAATGTAATTTTTCGTAGACTTTCGAATGCATATTATAACGTCGTATTTTATTTTTACGAATGTTTAAATTTAACCGAAAATGAATTTTTATTTTTTTTTTGTCGGTGGGTCAAATTGTTAGTTAAATTGTCGCCTTCTTCGCCCCCCTAGAACGATCTTGACAAGCGTTATTTAAAAAAATTCAAAAATAGTTGATAAAAGAAAACAATTTTTCATTACGGTTTAATTTTTAAATACAAAATGTGTTAAAAGTTAAGTGGGCCTGGAAAAATTTAAACTTTAATTTAAAATTATTATTATTATTAATATTATAGAACAAGAATTGAAGAAGTTGTTCATTCTTATACACTCTAAAAAGGCTTGTGTTGCAACAAGAGTGTTGTTGTTGTTGTTGTTGTAGTTATTTTGTTTCCCAGCGGAATATTTTTAGTTTATTGTTGAAAAATATTTTTTAAGCCGCTTTCATAGTACTGATTTTCCACTCTAGTTATTTCGTTTGTTTTTATATAAGGTTCTTTTCTTTCTTTCATTTTATTCATTATAAGGTTGTGAAGCGTTGACTTTAAAAAAAGAAAATGAAAGTTTGGAAAATGTTAAAATCGATTGAATAATTTGTTTTTTTTTTTAAATTTAATGATTCGAAAAAAATTAATTGTTTTTTGTTTTTTTTTTAATAATTATTTATTTGGTACAAAAGAAAGGTATTTGTCGTTGTTATTTTTTTTTATTTTAGGAGTTTAATTGTTTGGGCATTTTACCAAATGGAAATTTTAAAGTACTTTTACATTGAAATGATGTTTTTTTTTTTTTAAAATCTTTTACGTTTAGATAATTTTTTATACATGAATTCTCAACAGAATGATCGATATAGTTAAAAGTATATTTTTTATTACATTTGATTTAAAATTGTGGTTTACTTTTTTTTTTTTTTTACGGATGAATTATTCAAAACTTTTAAAAGAGATCGTATTGCATTTTATCATATCGTGAAATTTCACACCGTCATTTTATATAATTTTTTATCTTTTTCAATACTTTTTTTTTTTTTTTTTAATATTTAACAAACATCTCACGATAGTTTGTAGTAAAGTATACATATAAATATATATAAATAATTTAAAATGATCAATAAATAATGTTGTGGCTGAATGAAATGATAATGGTTGATGGTGGTGAAAATGGAATATGAATACATGGAAACGTTTTTAGCATTATTCGTGAATGTAGGAACGAATCACATATTTTGTTAATTACTGCATTTAATCACTACAGTTTTTCAAATCATTATCCAGCCCTAAATAATAATAATATTAATAATAAAAAATCGTTTTATGCGTATTTTGTAATTTGGGAATGCATACGTGAAAAAAACGTAATTTCTTTGTGAGATGCCTCTTAAATTTTAGGGTTCGACACCCCCTTTTCATCTCATACCATTTCTAATTTGTCTTTTAATATTTTTCATGAAAAAAAAATTTAAAATTAACATCAAACGTTTTTTTTTTTTAAAATATATCGTGGATCTGATCGATACTCTTGTTTTCCTTTTAAATGTTCAAAATGAGGAACCGAACGGGGGAGGGGGAAAAAAAAGTTTACAAAATTGTATTTATTGTTAGATTTCAAAAAAGTTTTCTTTTTTTTTCAAACTGTACGTAATTAATACTACGAGTTTAGAGTTTTTTTTAAAAAAAAAAAGTGAAACTGATA